AGTTTGACTGTTTTACCAGTGTGTAAATTCCATCAGAATGCTATTAATTTTCTGTAGGGTGATTGGATTATTTAAGTGTTCAAAAGGAAACAGGAAATTAAAAAAAAAAAAAATCTGTGTTTGCAATATACAAATTCATAAATTTAAAACCAGCATTTATTCTATTTGGTTTGGTGTATATGGTAAAATTACTTTTTTTTTTTTTTTTTCTCCTCTTATAAATAGAAAAGGATTTTTTTCTAGTTTGTTACTGTATTTATATATAGAAGAAATATATATATATATATTTTTTTTTTTTTTTTTTTTTTTTTTTTTTGGGACTCACTATTTAAAAAAGAAAAATATTACTGTAAATATAATGTAAATATTTCAAATGTGTATACTAATGTTTATCAATTTTTTTTTTTTTTTTTTAACCATGAATAAAAATTTGTTTATATATAAAAAAAAAAAAAAAAAAAAAGTATTAGTGGGAGGGATTTTATTTTCTGCAGGTAATTTAAAATTATTTCAGCTGTTAAAACATAACAATGTCTAGCATTATGCTAACATATTTCTGCTGATATATTTTACAGCCTTCATCAGGTGAATGTTAAATTAATGCTTTGGAATTCACTTTTTTTTTTTTTTTTCTTTACAGAATTAAAAACAATAAAGATAACAAAAATGTGAGAAAAAATATTTTGAATAATGAAAATATTTTCTCAGAATTTGAGAAATTTATGATTTTATTTAATCTTTGGATAGTTAGCTGCATCTTTGTTGCTTTTAATACAATGTATCAATTGGCCAGTACATTCTCCAACCATCCTCAGGTGCATGTCATATCTTGTCTGCTGAATTCACTCATGAAAAAAAAAAAAACCTTGGTGATTACAAATCAATTTTAGCTCCCACCTCCTCCTCCTACAGTAAATGAGCTGAATGTTATTAAGAAAAACAAAAACAATTATAAGAATAATGGAAAAGCCATTTGATGTCTGGTCTAGGTTGTGTTTTTGTAAAATAATTTTTATACATTTACTTAAATTTTTTTTAATTTTTTTTATTCAATTTATATAAAAAAAAATCATTTTGTCACAGCTTCTTGCATCTTTTAAAAAAGTAGAAACAAAAAATGAATTATTGATAATGTGATATTTGCACACTAGTGAGTCATTGCTGATGGGTTAACTTTTTTTTTAATCCTGAAAATGACATATTTTCTAGTCTATGCACCTTGAGCAGGACCTTATTTAGGCATTAAGAGGCTCCTGGGCTAATAGAATTTGGAGGGGCCCTCCTTCATTATGGGCCTATAAAAAAAAAAAAAATGTATTTCTTTAAGATTTTTTTTGAACATTTAAGCAGGTAGGAGAAATAAATAAATATACAGTTTAATAAATGGACCACCTACTCAAATATGAGTATCCACTAAAAATAACATTTAAAATGATAAAATGTGTGTGTGACATTTTCTCTAACATATTTGCAGGGCTAGATTTAGGCTTTAAGAGGCTCAAGGGTCAATAGCATGGAGGGGGAGCTTCATTATGTATGCCCCCCCTCCTCCAATGTCTATTAAAAATTTTTTTTAAATCCAATTTATTTCAGTAGCACCTTCATATCTTTTTATCTGAACTTTAAATCCTACAGAAATGTATTTATAATGAAGGACTTGTATTATGCTGAAATTTTAGGATTCAAATTCACTAGCAAACAATCCTAGAAAACAAAGATGGACATACGTGTTCAGTGAAGTGTAAAATTGAGCAAAGTAAACAAAATTAATGCAAAACTGAAAAAACTACAACAAAAATCCAGATGTATCTAAAAAGGATGAATCAACATCTAAATGGGGCCCCTCAGGTTTCTCTCTCTCTCTCTCTCTCTCTCTCTCCATCTCTATCTATCTCTCTATCTATCTATCTCATCTATCTCTCCATCTCTATCTCCCATCCATCTATCTCTCCATCTATCTCTATCTATCTATCCATCCCTATCTCCATCTATCTATCTCTATCTATCTCTATCTCCATCCCCATCTATCCTCTCTATCTCCCTCTATCCATCCCCATCCATCCATCCCCATCCATCCATCCCCATCCATCCCCATCCATCCCCATCCCATCCATCCCCATCCATCCATCCCCATCCATCCCCATCCATCCCCATCCATCCATCCCATCCATCCATCCATCCATCCATCCATCCCATCTCCCATCCATCCATCCCATCCATCCATCCATCCCATCCATCCATCCCATCCATCCATCCCCATCCATCCATCCATCCCCATCCATCCATCCATCCATCCATCCATCCCCATCCATCCATCCCCATCCATCCATCCCCCATCCATCCATCCCCATCCATCCCCCATCCATCCATCCATCCCCCCATCCATCCATCCCCCATCCATCCATCCCCATCCATCCATCCCCCATCCATCCATCCATCCATCCATCCATCCATCCATCCATCCCCATCCATCATCCATCCCCATCCATCTCCCCCATCCATCCATCCCCATCCATCTCCATCCATCCATCTCCTCCATCCCTCCATCCCCATCCATCCATCCATCCATCCCCATCCATCCATCTATCCATCCATCCATCTCCCATCCCCATCCATCCCCATCCATCCATCCCCATCCATCCCCATCCATCCATCCCCATCCATCCATCCCCATCCATCCATCCCCCATATCCCCATCCATCCATCCCATCCATCCCCATCCATCCATCCCCATCCATCCCCATCCATCCATCCCCATCCATCCCCATCCCCCATCCCCATCCCCCCATCCATCCATCCCCATCCCCATCCATCCCCATCCATCCCCCATCCATCCATCCATATCTCCATCCATCCCCATCCATCCATCCATCCATCCCCATCCATCCCCCCATCCCCATCCATCCCCATCCATCCATCCCCATCCATCCATCCATCCCATCCATCCATCCCCCATCCATCCATCCCCATCCATCCATCCATCCCCATCCATCCATCCATCCCCATCTCCATCCATCCCCATCCATCCATCCATCCATCCATCCATCCATCCCCATCCATCATCTATATCCATCCATCCATCCCCATCCATCCATCTATCCATCCATCCATCCATCCCCATTCATCCATCCATCTATCCCCCATCCATCCATCCATCCATCCCCATCCATCCATCCATCATCCATCCCCATCCATCCATCCATCCATCTATCTCATCCATCCATCCATCCATCCATCTATCTATCTATCTCATCTATCCATCCCATCCATCCATCTATCTATCTATCCATATCTCTATCCATATCCATCTATCCCATCTATCCATTCATCTATCTCATCTATCCATCCATCCATCTATCTCATCTATCCATCTATCTATCTATCTATCTATCCTATCCCCATCTATCCATTCATCTATTCTCTCATGTAATCTATTCATCTATCCATCATCTATCTATCCTATCTCTCTATCCATCCATCAATCTGATCCATCTAATGAGGCATTTTTAACACTCTGCCATTTCTTTTTGTGGTAAATTATTCAAAGCCATAAAAATCTATCCTGCTATTTACTAATGAGGATTCATACCCATCCCATTGGTAAGTTTGTAATAATTTGAAATTCAAATATTAATTGAATATATCCATTTTCATTACTTTGCCTCCTGAAAAATTACTAAGTTAAAAAATGGTTTGTATCCCAAAGTTTGTCACCAAAAACAAATATTATTTGAATATTGGTTATACTTTCAGAAAACTAAAGTTTTTGTATGTAATCAGTCACCAAGGTTCACAAAAAACTTTTTTTTTTTTTTTTTTTTTTCTTTTTAACATCTTCCGCAGTTTTCACTGAATAATTTTGCAGGTGTTTTTTTTTTTTTTCTTTCTTTTCTTTTAATATGTTGTCTCGGTTGTATAAATTATATAAATTTTCTTCAGCAAGCCCCTGAAAAAGTGGAGTCTGTGCACTCTGTCACAGTGGCTCCAATGAGTTTCAAACAAAAATAATAGCAAGTTATTATGGTCTGTGTATTCTGAGTCAAGTCCTTTCAAAAGTATAAAAGCCCAGCATTTCCTCTTTGTGTATTTAGTGATACCAACTCCACTGGTGGCAGTCCACTTATATGTCCAACCTCTCCCAACCCAATACAAAGCAGTTCATCTTGTCTGCTGTTGCCTGTTCAAGTGACACTTGCACAAAAAATAGATCTTTGTCACTTGAGATGTTGTCTTCTACTTTACAGGGAAATTATTCTAGAGTTGTCATTTGTTTTTTTTTTTTTGTTTTTTTTTTTTTTTGTTTTTTGTTCAAGTTATTTTCCTTAATTTTTTCTCTGCTGTTGTTAACCTAAGCATTTGTTTCCTGTGTATTTTACTGCAATGACTTGTATTTTGAATGTTACTTTCTATTCTTATTCGGAATTGGAATTGTAAATTGCATGTCTGCCTGTCTGATTCTCTCTCCAAACACATTTTCAAACCTTTCTGTCATGAACAGTCTGACATCATCAGCAACATTAGCTGGAATAGTTTAAATTTCTTATCTTGAATCATTGTCAAATCTTAAGTTTTCTTTTATCTATTTTTCCTGTTTGAAACTTCCTTCGGAAACTGCCTTTCTGATTAACGTACAAAGTAGTTGCAGTCATTCAAATTAAGCATAAAATATTTTATTCCATATTTTCCGCATCTTCATTTATATATGCTAGTCATATTGGTACTATTCAATAGTTATACTGGTACTATTCAAATTCCTTAGCTGAAGCATTATTAATTAATTACTAGTATTTTGACTTGCACATCTTTCATCTTAATTTCATTTTTTTTTTTTTTTTTTTTTTTTTTTTTGAAAGTCTCAGACATAAATTGGACATAAATGGTGCCAAGTTCCAAACTGCTTAGGAATGTCTGAGAAATGACCACATGGGGATTGCAATTTAAAAAACTGAAATTGAAAGAAATAATTGTTAAATGCCCGAACCTTTGATTTTCAATATGTTATGAAAACCAATAATTCTTTTCTTCTCTCTCCCACTCTCTCTTTCTTTTTGAGACAAATTCTTTTCAGGTTGAAGTTCATCATGGCTTTTCCTAGCTTCCTTTTTGTGACTTAATTTATTAAATGGCAGTCAAAATAAATTTGGGGACTTGTCCTTGATATTTAAGACATTTTTATTCTCACAAGAAAAATTAAGGATAGGTCATGTCACATTGACTTTTCAATTGGAAGGAGGCTCACTTGGCTTGATAGTCCTGGGTATGATGAACTACATCTGGTAGAAAGTACTCTGATTGGGAGATTGGAGGCTGTGAGGAGCGTGGAACCATCTCTTAATTGTTGTTGTTCCTATGCTCACCCTAATCCAGGGTGGTAGTACCTGTCAGGGTCTCAACTATGGGCAAATAGTGAACCTCCTCAAACAAAACACTATGAAAGTATAAAAATACCAGCAATGCATTTTTATATAAAACATTACCAACAATACATATTTATAGTAAAATTATTAACAATATGCAGGTACTAACAAATTGTAGTCCCTTCACCCAAATCTTTTAAAATACTATCAAACAACCAATATAAAAGAACTTTCATGACATTAAGCCATTCTACATTTTCTTAAATGAAACTGTATTCCAAAATATAATGTCAACAAGACCACAACATAAAACATATCACTGCCTCCATACAAACATGTATATGAACAAAAGTTCAGTATCATCTACCATGTATTCAACTGTGAAAGCAGAATAACATGTATCATATTTTTATTACTTCCAAGCTATCAAGAAAAATTTTGGCATTAAATGACCCATAACGAGTTGATATGCCATTAACAAACAAATCAATCACTTGCCTTGAAAATCATTGTTGGGAATCCTGGCTTTTATTGAAGTTTGAACTAGGAAATAAGCTGGTATCTTATCCAATAAGTATGGTTGGACCTGTTTTCAACATTTTTTATGTCTGTTTTTAAAAAAAACAAAAAAAAACACATTTGTATGAATTGTGTGTTTCAGGTTATGTGTGTGTGTGTGTGTGTGTGTGTGTGTGTAATATATATATATATATATATATATATATATATATATATATATATATATATATATATATACACACACACACTAGTCTAGAAGCTCCTCTTCAGGCAGACTTTAGACTAGCTCCTGAAGAGGGCTATTAGGTATTCAGCCTTTTTACCTTTTACTTTAGTGTCCTGTGTACATAAGTTATAAGAATTTTAAAATAATAAAATTATCTTTATCTGACACCTTAATTCGGCATAATCTTTCTTTGTATATGCAACTAATCTCCGTAACCCGAACTATGTAACATTTTGAATGTCATAGTATGCCTACTAGAAAAAAAAAAGAAGCCATATGAGCAATGTACCATGACCCAGTTTAATTAGATGATTGCAATTGCAATGAAAAGTGAAATTAAAGTTAAACCTTTAATAAAGAATTATTTTTTGTTTTTAAACCTTACACTCTGTTCGATATTTAAGTTTAAATGAGTAATTTATTTAATTTTTAATTGCCTGTTAAAGTTCATCAGCATTGAAAAATGGCTGGACACACATACCATACCCTGTGATTTTTATAATATATATAATCTCAACACCAGGGAATGTGACATAATACAGCCACATAATGTTGAAATACGAGTTCCTGTAAGATCACTGAAGTTAGGCAGTGTTAAGCCTGATTAGATGGGTGACAGCTTGGGAATAACAGGGGCTGTAAGTTTGGATGTGCAGGTGGTGTAATTGATAATGGCTCAGAATTGTTAATTGTAGATCAGTTTTAATTCCCATTGGGTTTGGTATATTTACATGTGCAAATATCCTTGGGAAAGGTATGACTTCACCTCTTCCCTCCTCAGCTATGGGTTAATTAGTAAGACTTGTATCATTAAAACCATTATTGTCTACAATAAATAAAATAAAATTGCATGCAAATTATTTAGATATTGGTGTTAAATAACTCATAGAGGTGTTGATATGCTACTAAACAACCAAACAACCAACCAGGAAATTTTTTTTTTTTTTTTTTTTTTTTTTTTTTTAATGATGTAAAGTATATCTAGAGAAACAGAATTGTTAAATGATTGATACAAGTCCTGAAGCTGTAACTCAGCATTGAAATATTAGCAAAATTTGGAAACCTGTTTTTAGAATGAGTTTTACCTTTTCAGTTCTTTTATATGTGTGATGGTGGTAGCAGCATCTATTAACAAATTTTGAAACATCCTCACCTTATACAGTAGGATTGATTTGATTGTACTTTAGCCAGCCCGATCTGCCTCTCTTTTGACAATGTTATTTTCCTTACTTACTAAATTTGATGCCTACCATTACCCCCACCCCCAACCTCTCTGTCCACTTTCTGAACCATAATCAGACCGTACGTTGGCATGCCTCACCTCCCTAGAATCCTTACCAGAATCTTCCTGATCACTATAATCAGAAAATTCTTCATTACAGTTTACAGTAAACTCTGACTTAGAATTTGTAAATATCTTGGCTCATTAATCAGCTGTCAGCTTGCCACATTTTGACATGGTAGGAATCGACACAAGAACATGTAGGTGAAGAATAGAACAATCAAGATTCCTCAGAAACTAAATGAAATTGCCAAAAAACAGTCTGTGTAGAACAAAATGAAGTTGTCATAAATTTCTAAAAGGCTGGTGCATTTTAACAAATATTTATCCTTTGCTGTGGAACTTAAGAGATGTAAAAAAAAAAAGGAAAATAAAGAAATCTAGTATTAAACTTTGGTAAATTTAAAAAAAATATGAATTATCTTGCTAGAAGAAATTCTATTGACAGTGTGGACATAGGATTCAACAGTACATGATGACAATTTTTAAATGCTTTCTAATATTGAGCACTCTTCCAATATATCGGTAGCAAATTATATATATATATATATATAATAATTATTATAATTTTATATATATATATATATATATATATATATATATATATATATATATAATAATATTAAATTATAAAACAACAGAAGATAGTCCATGTATGGTTCTTATATGTTGCTTTAATAGACTGGTTAATGAAATTTGAAGTATAAAAATACAAAATGATAAAAATATTATCAATAAGACTGATAATATTTATTTTAAATTATTCACCCTTTTGACTAAACAGAAGCACAAGGTGGAAGATTTTAGTCACACACAGCTGCCAACAAAAAAATACCACAAATTCCTCAGAAAAATCCTACTTCCTTGTTACTTTCTTGTCTTGTTGATAAAGGACACAAGTGTGTCTGAAAATTACTTAAAAATCTTTCTCTTCATGCTTCTATTTAGTCAAAAGGCTAATATTAATATTATTAGTCTTATTGACTCCTCATATATATATATATATATATATATATATATATATATATATATATATATATATATATCTCTCTCTCTCTCTCTCTCTCTCTCTCTCTCAATGTCAAATGTTGTTTGGGGATTTCAATGATAGTCGCTACTTTTGAATTTTGAAATTTATGCATCTTTATGAGATTTTCTTTTCTTTTTCAGTCTCTTGCTTCTGATAATTCCCAGAACTTCCAATCAGAAAGCCAGTATAATTTTGGTGCTTCCATGAAGAACAACTATCAGTTTGAAAGATTTGATATAGACAAACTTAAATCATCTACACCAACAACCTATCGAGGTGTAAGGAGCTTAAAACACAAAAATGATAAGCACTACACTGAAGGACTTAGGAAAAGTAACAGCTTACATGATCTTAGTTCAAACGGGAAAATTCCATGTAGCAATCTTGAATCATCTAAATATCTCAGCCGCTCGGGTGACAATTTGAACTTCATTCCCATTGTGGACAATTATAAAGTTGGACCCCAAATATTTGAAGGTTCTGATTCGAGAAGGGCCAGTGACTCTGGGAAAAGTGACAGTCCCGTGCCCTCCTGTAGCCCTAGTTCCAAATCAAGTAATGGAGAGAAGTCTGGTCACCGTTCCCGCCGTGGTTCTTTTGATGAGAAACGTGCTTCACCAATCCGTCCAAGGACTCCAACTAACAGATCCATAAGCTTACTTGCTGAAAAGTCAACCAATAGTCGAGAATTTTCCTCTCGTCTTTCCTTACCAAAGACTGACAGTGATATTGACATTGATGGCCCTCCAACAAAACAACGATCAAAACTGCCTCCAGATGACAATGTAATTTTATACAGCTCTCGCAATAATGAAACCGATGAACTAAAGGTAAGCACATATAGTCATAATTTAAACAGTAGCGCCATTTCACAGAAACACACACTGTGTATGTATGTATGTGTGTGTGTGTGTGTGTATATATATATATATATATATATATGTGTGTGTGTGTGACTGCATCTTTCTCTCTCTCTACATGACTGCATCTCTCTGTGACTGACACTGTATATGTCTCTGCCTCTCTCTGTATGTGTCTTCCTCACTCTCACTCCATGTGTGTATGTATGCCTTTCTCTCTCTCTCTTCTGTGTGTGCGTCTGCCCCCCATCCCCCTCTCCCTATCTTTTGTTCCCCTCCCTCTCCCCCCATCCCCCAATTTCCCCTCTTTCCCCCAATGTCTTTTTTCTCTCTCTCTCTCTCTCTATGCCTGCTTTTCTCACTCTCGCTGTCAGTCTTTTTAAACAGTTTGTCAATCATTGTTTTCAAAGATTTGAAAAGTTAATTTTGTTTCTCATGAAAATTGTTTAAAATTAAAATTACTTTGATGCTAAGAAAATACTTTTTGTATAAAAATATTCTTCACTTTCTTTTCTGAAAATCACTAGTTTCCAACTTCTCTATTTCCAAGAATTTTTAGTATTCAGGATTTCAAGTATTTTTCATCTGAAATCTTATTCCTTACCATTTAAATGAAAAGCATTATATTTTCATTCTGTAAAACATAGACTTATATATATATATATATATATATATATATATATATATATATTCTACTAGGAGCTGCAATATAGCACCAAGTAAATGGTTTTCAGTAGATGCTTGCTTATTTTCAAATCCATTGTTTTTTTTTTTTTTTTTTTTTTTACTTTTTCAGAAAAGACAAAAAAATTTTGTTGATCACATATTTTAAGGAATAAATAGAAACTAAATTAATATTACCTAATGTTTTTTTAAATGCATTATTAATCCAAACATATTTTTATCATGAGTGATAGTTTTTCTCTTAAGATGCATTTCGCTGAAAAAAAGCAAAAAAAAAAAAAATCTTATTTAATGTCATTAAAAGCAACCAAAGTAATATTTGTAATAGATCTGTCCGACTTATTTTCTTCTAAGCAGCACCTTATGGAATAAATATCTGATTGGGTTCTAAAGAATGTAACTGTTTTTCTTTTCTTTGCATGCCCTTGTCATTTATTTCATGCAAAACTTTGTTCTCTCTACAAAGCAAAGACTTTTTTTGTCTATATTTTTTTCTCTCCCCTACTTCCTGTAGCAGAGTCATGGTTGCATGCAGTATTGTCAGGTATGTGACAGTTACCCTGTTCAGTTATCCTCTTAACAGCATGACTACAAATCCAGACTTTTTTGCTGCAACTGCTGCACATTATATAGTTGTTGTTAGTAGTAGAATAAAAGGGGAAAATATTCTGATTACATCATTTCCTCTCGGGAACTTTTACTTTTTCCATCTTTCTGTTTTTCCCACCAAATTCCTCTGATCAAGTGCAGTAAATTAAGACACCAGACTACATTAATGTAGCAATTGTAATATACCGTTGTCTCTCTCTTTTTTCTTTTTTTTTTTTTTTCTATGTCTATTTTGACAACATTTCAAAGGAGGCTTTTCACACCTGCTCTGCTAAACCTGAATAGTTTCTTCTGACATTGGCCTTTCTGTTCCTAAAATTTTTTTTTTTTTTAAACAAATCATGTGGGTTGTCTATGAAATTATGTTAGAAGCCCATAATTCCTTGTTCTTTAATCAATGCTGTTTGATATTTTGGTCACATGACATTGGATTAAAGATGAAGCAACAAAATATCGTAATTGCTTCATTTGTGGACATTTGTCTTATTCTTGTAACAAAAAAAAAAAAAAAAAAAAAATAAGCTTTCTGGTATATCCAGTATAGAGCTCATTTTAAGTAGACATTTGGCTTTAACCAATTTTGATTGATTGATTGATTTTTATACAAATGCTTATGTGATAAAACTCGCTCATATTTTAATTTTTTGGGTCCCACTAAAACCTCATTCAATAAATTTAGAAATATAAATTTTATCAGAAAGACAACTTTGTGACACCAATATATTTGGAAAATAAGGATTTTTTTCATCCTACATACTACTGAGTTTTTGATTAATCTAATTGCAATAAAAGAAATCTTCAATCTGTTGAAAACGTTTTTGAAAATATTTCTAGTTTGTCTCTTCACTTTTTTTCTTGCCTATTTTGCCTGTGAGCCTCTCTTGTTCATTTATTTATGAAGATGTCTGTGTAGATCTCCATATCATTTTGAAAGTTGTGCTCAGAAAATTTGCTTTTGTAAGTAACTTCTCATGATCAGATTCAACATGTACGCAAAAAACACAAGACATTAGCTGAAGTGTGATTTAATGTCAAGTGTAGAGAGTAATTTATTACTTGTGTGCAATTTCAATTCAAAATGGAGTTTTTGTTCTTTTTCGTTTTTTTTTTTTTAAAGAAATTTTGATAAGTATTGAAAAATACCAACTTATATGGTTAAGTAAAGTTATTCTTTGTAAATTTGATAGCTAAAATTAAAAACTACTTGTAGAAATTAAATCTTTTAGTTAAAATAATTAAAATGCAAGAAAGTATTAACCTTCTAGATAAATGAAAAATACTCAAATTTTAGTCTAAGGGAGATAACTCAGAAGATAAACTTATTTGAAACTATTATGTGTTGGTATATATTCAATTAATTTGATACAATCTTGTTGCATTAATGATCATCAAAGATAATGTTTAAAAACAAGAATTTATTATTTAAATTTCTGTAACTTTAACAAAAGTTGGTTCATTTAAAGAAACTTTTGGCCAATACTATTTGAATCTGATTTTATCTGAAATGAATGCTTTTGAAAACTTTATTATCCTAACCTAAGATAAAGTAAATATTTTTAAGAGAACAAACAACTTTAAGAAAACCGAGAAATTTTGTTTAGTGTCAGATATGGGCGTGTTAGCTCATTTTTACTAAGAATTATTTTTGTAGATATAATTTTTCCTGTATCAATGAAAACTTGAACAGGCCCTTGCAATATCTGTCATTCAGAAAATTAATGGATTCCCCATTTTTACAAAAATTAATGGGATCTCATTTCTCATTTTTACAAAATTTAGATTGATAATCATGTAGCAATGAATCAAACAGCAGAAAAGAAGATCCCAGCTTGGGTGTTTCCGATGCAACAGGAACAATTGGTTTCTCCTTTAAAGCATTTGTTGATCAGTTCATGCCTTCTCCAACAAGAGTTGACCTATTTCATAGTTGGCTGTTTTGAGAGGGTAGTGAGACAATACAGGTGGGGCTGATCACTTGTCCATTAGTCAATCGCAGCCAATCTGTGGTTGGGATGAAACAGACTTAAAAGACTGGCATTTCTTTGTGCAAAGCAGCATTCTCCCAGCTCTTCTGTTGGAATGACAAACAGAAGCTTAGCTATTGATCTCATTCATGGAGTTGTTTTTTCTCCTGTTCTTTGCTTACACATTCTTAATAAAGTGAAAATGTCATATATATATATATATATATATATATATATATATAAAATAGAATTTTATCTTGAGCATCTATGAAACAAAGTTCTGATGAAAGTATCTTTCTGTTACTGCTTCCATTTAAGACTGAATGTTCTTAAAGACTTCAATGAAAGAAACTTTAAAACTATAATACCATGTCAGGGTTGGGTTGAAAAAAATGACTTGGTCATAGAAATTGTGAAAATTTAATGTAACAAATTTAAAATTTATGACTTGAACACAATATTTTATATGATTGAGGAAAAATATTAGGCTATTTTAATGCTGACTTATCTCTTGACAAATTGATTTTTATTAAAAACTCCTTCACAAGAGAATTTTTTTTTTTTCTTCAGTGCTCTATTCTGTTAATTTTACTTTTTATAATCTTGTCAATGAAAACCAAAATACAAAATTGGTGGTAAATACTGATTGCTGCAAGTTTCTTCCTATGTTAGTTTTGGCCACTTTTGTAGATCTTTTGGCAGCATGATCATTAATAAGTCTATAGTTAGTATTAATGGTTTTATCTGTTCAGAAAGAGGAATTAGTGAGGTGAGTTCAAATTCTGACCAGGTCAGTTGAGTTCACCTTCTACAAGTTCTGAGTTATGCGCTCTATAGCATTGGATTGCAGCTAGCCAAAGGTAAATCTCCAAATTCGAACCCAATGGGCATATTGATGTTGATTGTGGAATAATGACCTTTCAACTGTCATATTTTAGCTTCTCACATTTTTATCCATTGTGGGAAGCTCTCTATTTCTTTCTCTGAAGGGCTATGGCATGCTGTACCTTTTTTTTTTTTTTATGTTAATTTGGGAACTCCCCACCCCAACACCCATAAAAATAAGTATACTTCTCTGGCTAGGACACTTATAAATAATCATCACCCACAAAAGTTTTAATCCTTTTTAAAGGTTTTCTATTATTTATTATCAGCAATTCAAATACTCTCCTGACCAAAGTGGGGTGAACACACACACACACTTTTCTTTGCTAATTACTTATTTAGTTAAAATAATAACTGAATATAATTGTTGACTTTAGTGTAGCAAGTGCAGCAGTTCACACTAATCCCTCATATTTTGTAAATTGACAATTTGCTTGTTTTTTAGTTTTTATTTTTTTGTTTTTCTTTAGCTAATCATAAAGGGAGCTACAATACTACAAATTAAGTCGACTTGTTGAGGGGGGGGAATCACTAAGCAACAATATTCAGGAGGTTAAACGTATAAGGTAACCATGTCCTGAAATTTGACCCCCCCACCCCGTTGCACTCTGAAGAAGACTAAGATCACTGTATAATACAGCAGTATCAACAAAAAAATGTTGTAGGGAAAGCAACAAGAGTTTTATATATTTTGGGCTTTTTATATATATATATATATATAGCTCAAACACTAATATTCCATGGTTATAATTTATTACATTGGAATCGTAATCACAATCCAATTCATCAGACCTACAAATTCAAAAAGAATTTCTTTTTGAATTTGTA